TTGATAACGTTTAAAGAGATACGCGTTAACGCGTTAACGTGGCGTATTTTGATTCGAGCTTATCCATTCTCTATAAAAGATATTTGTTTACCATGAATATTCTAAAATTATTTTGCGTAACGTAATTGGAATCGAATAGATACTTCTCGATGATCTCCTCGTGAAAATCATCCGATAGAACGTCAGCGATGGCCTCGTCTATTTTACTGAAAATAACTTCTATGTACGATTTTATCGTTTGCTCATCGACATTTTCGATCTGAATAATGACGTTCTCTGCCATTTTTATGATCATTCGAATAAAATCAAATACATATTCCGTGGGAATATTTGTCATTGAATTGATGATTCCATTTCCATTTTGCGTCTTCCGATTTAAATTCGCATATGCATTTTTTTTTAAGGTTGACAAGGTAATCGGTCCAGATTTCTTTTTGAACATATTGAAATTTTTTGTTATTATAATCTCGCGAATCGAATGATGTTTCTTCTTATTTTATTGCGACAAGAGAAAATCCGAACTTTTCAAGCGTTTCAATTCTACAGATTAGCCTTATTTCGTGTTTTTTAATGGTTTTTTTAACGTTTATCAGTCAAATCTTTAGCGAAGGATTTAATCGTAGTTATTAATGTTCGATCGCATACATTCATTATAACCTGTAAAGCCATTCAAAGGTTCCAGCGATTATTTCAATCGGTACAAGTGAATCAGACATAAATATACCTTTTAATGCGTTTATCAATAGCTTAAATTTGTTATTGGTATCATTCAGTTGAATGTCGATCGTTTTTATCTTGCGTATATACGGATAGACGATCTTCGCATAAGTTTCCCTATAAAGAAGCGTACTTAGGAATTGTAGATAATAAACTTTATTCTCATATTTCAGACATTTCATAGCTTCTTCCGTAAATTTTATCAGTATGTCTTTGTACCAACGGCTCATAGTAATAAAACGTTTCATTGTTTTAATGTGCATACTAATCTTGCAATTGTCCAAATAATCGCAACATCATTTCAAAATAAATTCCATCAACGCTTCAATTACATCAACGCTTTTTCAGAATCAATATCGCCAGAATTTTTTTTCTTTATTATCCACGATTTGTATCCACTTCCTCGTTTTTCAAAAACGTTATAACATTTTTGATGAAATAGTTCTCGATTAACGATATCAATCGGACCTTTTCCATAAGACTATTGGAGATTATTTCATATTGCGTGTCGTACATTTTACCTGTTCATAGCAAGTAAAAGATACTCTGTCACGTTTAGTTTACTCACTTTGTCTCAATTAGGATCCTTCGTTTCATATTTCTTTTCTATAATCTTGACAATATTATTGAAATACCTTCACTAATATTCAATGCCATCGTGAAGTATGATCCACTTGTCCTCCCAATTTTGGAGTTTTGTTTCGATGAAGATATTTAATATTTTTTTTTCAACAGTAAATGATTCTTCATTTCAAAACGAATTGCGGATTTTAATAGCAATCTGTTTTTGGGCTGATAATACGTATATAATTGTTCTTTAAAGTAATTCTTCTCGATAATATCGTCGATAATGGATATATTATTCATAAATTTCATTATTCATAAATATATATATATATATATATATATATATATATATACATATATATATTTGTCAGATCTCTCCTAAAAAAAAAAAAAAATATAATCAAACACGCGTGTGTACGCGTGCTGCTTTCTTCTCTTCGCATATAAATTCGTTTAATACGACGAGTGTTATTGTTATTATTATTACGAATTTCGTCGATGATTAATTATAAACGTCAATTGCCAGTTGACCTTGTGGGCTTATCGCAAAAATAAAGGAAAAATATTAATGAAGACTGAATGTAATTTTCTTCCATTTACGTTTCACAAAGTTCCCATCTCTAAATACACAAATAACAAATTGTAAATGTAAATTGATTATCGATTAATTGATTAATATTAATATATATTGTCCTTTATGTAAATTTTATTAACTATCAAATCAATAACTAATAAAATATATCGGCGTTGAACTAAACGTAACTACACTAGACAGTATGAACATGTCAATCTATTCGCGTTTCCACCGATTAAATGCCATCGAAAACAACTTTATCAATATGAATTCTCGAAGATTATTACGCTGTTATCTCTAAGGTAATTTATTCTAATAATTATAATAATAATCAAATCATTCATTTATCTATACTAAATTTTTATAAAAGTTTAATTAATTTAATTAACTAAATTAATTATCACACAGTGGTTTTTTCTTGTTCTAACGTGTTATCTATAACTACATGAATTAACCATTAGGCGAATAACGTTCATTTAAATGTTATCAACGACGTCATTTCTTTACTCTTTGTATGTTATATATATCTTTGTTGAATGTTCTTCTCGGTTTAAAACTATCATTGAAAGATATGATATAATTCAAACAATTCCGATATACTGTCATGGTTTCTTTCTCAGAATTCTATCTTAATTGTATATGAATTTAATTCATATGCTTTTTATTTCAAAAATTTGTAATTATAAAAGATATATTCTTAAATAACTTTAACATTTTTATAGGTATGATAGATCGATCAAGAATTGTTTAAATTAAATTTTTATTTTATTATTCTTTTAAATTAAAAAATTTGTATAAGAAATATAAAAAAATTGTTAGATGTATTTATTTCCTATGAAATGGCAGTCGTTGTTTGTAAAGGGATTTGCACTCGATTTATTCATTGCGTCACTTGTTTCACTTCTCTCTTTACACTTTTTACTGGTCTTTGTACACTATTTCATTTTATTTGGTACTGTGTATACTATGGCTGATCGACTTTCTTTCTGTAAGAGCTTTTGTTTGAACTTTTGGTTGGAGATTTTTCTTTCAGAAGTATAAAACGTGATTGATTTATATTGATTTTGTTTCGCGTCGATTTTCAAGATGCACATACCTTGTTGTCTTCGTTTCTATTCTCGTTCCTACAAAAATTTATCACATTTTAGTCTTTAAGTGCATTATTAAGTTTAGACGTTATTAATTCTATGCTGCAAATCATTTTAATGATAAATATTTAATGAATTTAATGAGTTTTTTTAGTAATAGTATAATGTAATAGTATAAATAATAAAAATATTATTAATGACTATTTTTTTTATATACCTAGATTAAGCAGAAATTTTCTTCATTTATTAAAAACTTCATCATAGTTTCGTAAGATTATAAATTTTTAATCTTTTTAGATTATCGATCATTTCATATTATCACCATCGAGTGTTCTGCACACATCGATTTAGATTTTTCTTTTATTTTACAAGAAAATAGAAATTCTTTGGATTAGATGAAACGTAGAAAGATTCTTTTCTCCTTTTCGGGTAGGTAAATAGTTACTCGCGTTACAATTGCGTTGTTGTAAATTTTCTTAAAAAACATTAAATGCGATTTCTATTTTGTATACTTTGATTTTCAAATAATAATAATAATAACATAAAAGAGTAGAGCTACCGTTAACCCGTGGATCTCTATATGCAGCAACCTCCATGTGTTGAGATCTGTATCGGTATTAGTTGCGATATATCAAAATTTAAATTTTAATCTAAATCATGTAGTGCAAGTATTACCGGGCGAATGGCTGCATTTTCAAAATCTTTTCTTTCTAATTTCAACCGAACATTAAAAAATATTTACATTTTGCATTGCTGATCATACTTCGTAGTGCATAAACAGATTGAATAGAATTCTGAAATAATTTTTTAGAGAAACGCATTGAAAAAATTTAATTTTTTTTTTATATTTTTTTATTCATATTTATTCTCATTTATTCTCATTCATTTTTTTTTTATTCTTATTTATTCTTATTTATACTTTTCAGGTTAGATACTATAGTTGTGAGTCTATTCTATTCATGTTCGTATATCCATATCCACATATTTCAGAATACAAGATATGCATCAGCAATTTTCTTTCTACCATTTTTATTATTATCTTTTGTGCACATCCATCCGTTTTTTTTTAAAGCTTTATTTTTGTCTTTTCCCAATTCAGTTGTAATCGTTTTTTTTTTTTTTTTTATATATAAATCATGAGATTTTAATATTATACTCACTTGGAATTCCTAAATATGAAAATCTTTTTTCCATTTTATCGACGTTACTAATATCTTTTACAGAAAATTTCTCTATATCGATTTTATTCGTCTTTTCCTTTTATTTTTCGATTTTTCTTTACAGCGTGCACATTTTTCTTTACAACAATCTTTATACGTGAATCAGCCACATGTTCTGGGTCCATGACCTATCGAATGAAATAACATCAAATTATATGTCTTATTTATTCTTTATCATTTATTAATTATTTATTAATTCTTATTTGTTCGTAATTTTAAATATTTATTGTGTACGATTTTTGTGGTAGTATCCTTGGATTGGTTTCTTTCTTTCAATAGAAAAATATTGAGCTCGAATTATGTAATGTACTTTAATTTTGCTTAGATGGAATGATCTTTAAGATGTACATCCTCGTTATCGTATATCTTTATTATTCTTTTTGGATTTTTAACTTTTATATTTGATGATCTTTTTTTCTTTCCTTCTTTCTTTATTTCTCTAAGTTAGATTTATTTATTTTCAAGATTGTTGCATTTTTAGATCGATTTAGATTTTTATACAGGAGTTTATAGAATTCATTAAATATAAAAAGTAAATATACTTATGCGAATGTTCATTCATTCATTCGATTAATTTTAAGTTTGGATCCCAAAGTAATGTATTTAACTATTAATAAAGTTAGATGTGTGATCAGTATAACTCACACAAGCTTATACATCGATACGATAGACGCGTAGTGTAAATAATGTTTCCATATTGTGTTAACATGTAATTTATATTTTGTCCTTTCGTGATTCGAACAAAAGATCGTGAACAGTCTTAATGGAAATCAATAGAATTTTAAAATGTAAATAAACATTGGATTATATCCTGTGGAGCAGGTAGTCGTTCCGTGGATCTCGAAGTGTACACACGTATCGCAGATGATTCTTCTTGATAATAAGTATTAATCATAACTAATTATAATTATATTCGTTTAATTTATAACGCTACTATTTGTTTATCTAGTATTATTATTAAACAAGAAAAATATGTAGCAAAAGTAGTAAGATCTTTGTGATTTAGAAATTTTTTTATTTCATTAATTTTCACTAAACTTTCAGATATAACAGGTATTAATATAAGACTTAAATTAAACTTGCTGTATTCAATGATCGATGAGAGTATAAAAGAACCGAAAACTTGTCGTCAAATTCATACTTTAGAAGTACACTAACAGTAGCCATACATTGATGCAAAACGTAGTCATAGTACGGAGCATAGTATAAAGCCGCCATTAGATTTCGTCTTACTGCAGCATCGTTATGTAGATCTAATTAATGAATCCAGAATACTACGGCGTGTTATCTGTTTGCAGCAATGCCTCCATTGTCAACACTCGTAAGGTATTGCTCTAACTCGATTAGTCGAATCGAAACGAATAGAATTATTAATCCAGAAAATTTATCTTTGGAAATTTTACGAAACAAAATTAATGATATTGATATCGAAAAGTTGAAATTTAAATCGATGTTATTCTAATTTTAAAGTTATTTCTAAAAAATTTTATTTTATTTATTTATTTATTTATTTTGTTTATTTTGTTTTTTTGTTTTTAGATTAAAATAGATATTTATTTTGATATTTATTTTGATATTTATTTTGATTCATGTCCATACTATGATCGCGATTAATTTTTGCTTTTTGATTTATTTTGATTTATATCTTTCTTATATCTTTCTTCACTCGTATCAACGATTTTGAATTTATAATGACTTCATAGGATGAATACGTCTTTTCTATGTTTATGATTTAGGTTCAACGACGGAAGTAGAAGAAATATGGTCGGTCTCTGAGAAACAGGAAGATCTAGGGTTTAATTCTAATAACATAGCATTAAGTACAGATTTAACTCCGACGCTTGTGGTTTCACAAACACGTTCAAGGAAAATGAAGTGCACGATGTGTTAGTCGTAGTAATGCGAAACGTTTCTTGCCGTTTTCAAATTTACGTGAATGAGATAATATTTCGTTAAAGTACGATATGACTTTATTGTTAATATTTGTTACGTTTAGATAAGCTGTTAAGGTTTTTATGATATTTTGTTTACTTTTTTTTTTTCAATTGAAAGAAAGATAACACAGCTGACATTTTTTGTAATACAATGTTACAGATAGAAATGTTTATATCAAATGGGATTGGAGATAAGGTATGCTAAAATGATCTTATACAAATTAAAAAGCTTTATCCTTGATAATTCAAAGGACAAAGTCGAGAACAAAGAGCGATTCGTCAGACACCAAGATGTCGGCCAAAGATTAAAGTTTCCTCAGTTAATCTTTATCGTAAATCTTAATTAAATATCCTCGCTTGTTATAAGAAGATGGTCGACATGTTATAGTCAACGAGTTTTTAGAGACTATTATATTATTTTTCAAGATTCAACGTATAATCTCTATTTGAGAAATATCATTTTAATTAATTATTTTATAAAATAATTAACATATATAGGCCTTGTTACAGTTTATTTTAATAAGCCTAATAACGTGTCGGTATCGTTACTTTCACGAAATTATTTCTCAAAACTACTGTTTCTCGAAACTGCTTTTCGATCTCATTTGCGAACTTTTGACAGAAAGTCGTTTTATGATAGAACGATTGATATCGCGAAAAGAAATGAGAAAAGTAGTCGTACGACTCTAGATTAAAAAACTTTTTAATCGAGCTGTACACGCATGTATTCTTTTAGAATTTTAATTTATTTTATCATTGTGGTACTGTCATTTCGATTGTGAGAACGTTGCCAACTAGTAACATCTATTACTGCTAATAAAATTGGATAGCAATTTTCTATGTGTATCTATGTGCATATGTGTGTTACAGTTTATTCAAAAATATGATATACTTATTTATTACGCTTATTTATTAAAAAAGAAAACATATTTATTATTAGATTAAAAAAAAAAAGAATAAAACTAACAAAATAATATTTTCTTTTACAATAAAATTCTTCTACAATAAAATATTTTCTTTTTTTTAATTTAATAAACATTGAAAACATTTCTTTATTACTGTCAAGATAAAATTAATTAATTAGGTTAATAAATTGGCTGAATGTCTTATACGTTAACTACAGAAATATACATATTTTTGTAATTAAATGAGAGATCTAATCTAACAATAGCCTTGTAATGTTATGATTAATGTCTAATAATAAAAGTATTCACATGAGGTAGACTTTGTTAAGAAGTATATAAAGCATTTTCATTTAAATGAAGTTACGAACTCTTCTCGTTATCGCAATTACAGACGATTAACATGAACGGTAAACATTCAAATCGGTAAAACATTCAAGAATAATATAATATTGAAATTCGTTTTAAGAAAGAAGAGAAAAGTATCATTGTTCCATTGGACAATTAAAAAAATAAAGAAAATGTTTCTATTTATTCTGGTAAACATAATTTTGAAAATTTATTTAATTGAGTTGAATAATTTGTTCTTATAAATTTATTTTAAATTAATAATTTTATAAAAACATTTTTGTTAAAATGATACAGTAAATTGATTAATATGAATATAAGTATATTATTTAAAGTTAATAATTAGTGTTCGATCAGTAATATATAAATATTTCTTTACTTTAGACCCCCATCAGATACTGTCGAACAAATTATGTATTTCCTGGTTTGAGTAACACGTACCTACGTGTAACCAAACGTAATTTAATGAAGATCAAAAGCAGTATAATGCGTATGTTCGAATCGATTGCAATTAGAAATATTTCATTTCACATTTAATACAAACTCAAATCCACCGGGAATTAATTCAGTGTAATTAGAATTCTGTCTAATTTTGTCCAAGTTTCTTATTAAAACATCTAACGGATCTGTCAACACATAGATTTTCATTTGCCTTTGATTGCAAGTTCTAGCACATTAAACGGATTAATATTCGTCCTTTGCGTAGAAGGAATACTTCAATAGAATTTTCACAGTGATTTCGTTCATCTACAAGTCGTCGTCATATCAGATAGGTTGAATGCACTGCTCTTTTCATTAGCATTCACAGACAGGGACCGCAGGATGCCGGATACAGGCGCGGGTTGTTTCATGCGGGACATTTGATCGTTCGCTTGTAAAGACACACGTTAGAGATATCAGAAACACGTTAATTACGTGAAATTAATAAACAAGATAAATAATAATTCACAATAAGAATGAAAATCAAGGAAAGAAAAAGAAAGAAAATGTGATGAATAAAAATTATTTCGATAAAAAAAAAAGAAACAGAAAAAAATAAAAAAAAAAAAAAAAGGAACAAAAAAGAAAGAGAGAAAAATAAATGACATAGAAGTTCGAAGAAAATATTAAATAAGTAAAATTATTATCTGAATGATTAAAATTTCCAATTGTAAATTTTTAAAATCGAATCTATTTTTCTCACGAACGAAATAATACGAATGATCATGGAATTGATGTGTGTTTCGAGGTCGCATTCCGATATTTACATTTTATTAAAAGCGACAGGGTGGTATGGAGACAGAAGGTGCATAAATCACGATTTGCCGATATTACGAAGCGACTGCAGTCTGGCGTTGATGCAGATGTGCAGCGATGCGGTGCCATCAGCAGCAATGGCAATGCCAGCTGCCTAACCCCGGTCTATGTCTCTTCTTTCTTTCGTTCTCTTTAGGCTGTGAAAGTAACGCAAGAGGAGGGTTGCTTTACCTCGTAAAACTGAAACTTTATATTCCTATATCTACCTATGTGTTTGCACATAGAAACTCTCGCACATTCGTTTCGTCTCTTTTACCAAGCTTGTCCCCCTCTCCTCATTCCTTCTCGTTTCCGTTTTTCTCTTCATCTTCTTTCGAGCTTTCTCAAAATTTTTCTTTTTCATTTCCTTTTTTTACTTTCTTTCCAGTCTATTACTTTTCCTGCTTTCCTGCATCCTTCATGAAGAAGTTTTGTTTGCATAACCAGGGAGCAAACTCCCGAGGTAGTCGTATCGATCCGTTTTATCAATGATATGACACTTGGAGAATAGAGTAACTAAGCCGAGTTTCTAATGGTCTTCTTATCTATTTTGTTACCGAAATAGTATTAAGGTAGTCATCCTTCTTGACGAAGATATGATAAATACGGAAAATTTTTGAATTATATTATATATACATAGGTTACTTTTTCATACATACATCAATTTTTCATACATACATTAATATATATATATTCATATGCACGGTTCAAATTATATTCAGAAACGCTTGAATGTCTTATCGGTTTGTTTCTGATTGTACAATAGTATTATTTAATGAAAAAATAATTTTGAATAGGTATAATTAAAGAAAACGTTGTTATTAAAATCGCAATATACATGGATGTTATTTAAATGGCCTATATCTCGTATACATTATTCAAAATTTCATTTCTTTTTTGCTCCTTTTGGAATTGAACTTCTATGAACGTTTCAGATATTTTAGATATCAGCGATATAGACCAAACAACTTTCTAACTCGGCTCAAAAACGAATATTTCAAAGAACGAGATCGTGTTTCCACGAACGAATAGCTAGAAATAGGTCTCATTTGGTTCAACAGAGATTCCTTCTTTCACGCGAGGAAAGAGAACGCGAGAGTAGACGATGATTAAAAGATACGACGATTGGATAGCTTCGTGAGGCATTAGCTTTAAATCCTTAACTGACGTTACCATTAGAGCCACGAACTTTTCTCCTTTGCCTGCCATGTTCTTTTTCTATTTTTTTTTTCTCCCAGAAATACAGATACGTTCGAAGTGTTTAAAAATGATTTCTCATCTTTCATTTGTATTTTACAATATCTTTTACAAAAAGAAAAAAGAAATACAGAAGAAAAATGTCACGCACACACATATTTTATCTTACATGATATATATTTTGTTATATATTATTTTATATATTCAATTCTTTCTTATATTACATATATAATATATATATATATATATATATATATATATATTAGGGGGACCGAAAAGTAATGTCGTTTCTGCGCATGTCGATATTTGATTGTTAAAAATTGTTAAAAATTTATTCGTTTGAATTTAATTTAAGAAAGTGACATTACTTTCCAGTTCCCCTAATATATAACGTAATTATGCAAAATAAAAAAAAAATAAAAAGATTAGAAATAAAATATAATCTACACATTGAGTTTCACGTATAACAATATAATCGTTGATGATCTATCTGCTCGTATATTAATATGGTGTATCTTGATTGTGTTTCTAAGCGTCACACCATTAACATGCATTTATATCCAAGCGAGGAAAGAGGAAATATATATTGTCCGTTGGACATATAATGGGCAGGCGGTACTCTCTCGTTTATACGTTAAAGTGCAATTTTCCAATAGGCTCCGTTGAACAACAGGCTAGGAGAGAACATTCTAAAGGTTCCTTTAGTGGCTGTATATCAGTCCAGTAGACAACACGGAGTCATGAAATCGTGATCTTTCAATGAACGTAAATTTTGTATTTCAAGAAGAAAGCTACATGTTAGGGAAATAAAGTAATATTTTATTATCTTTAATATTAAGTCATAGATATACTATAATGACTTAAGAAGTATTTTCAAAAATATAAAATATACGTACATATATAAATAAATAAAAAATTTTCGAATAATCAAACGAAAATGTGTTTATCTCTTTGTATATTATTAAACTTTAAGGAATAAACATAAATTTTATATTATATTAAATTTAATCTCGTTATATTTAAAAAAATATTATAAAAAAAAGATATCCTTATAAGATGTTATATCTCTTGAAAAGAATTACAAAAACTTCAATTAAACAAAAGTAAATAACTAGTTAAAATGTTCTCTCCACATTTGAAAGTGATTACTTTTTCTATTTAATGAATATTTACGAAAGAATAAAAATATAATATAATTGAAGATAATTTTATCTAACAAATTTGTCTCCTTAATATTATTATATAAATAAACGAATTTAAATTATTTGAATAAACTGAAAGAAATAAACGAACTCTACATGATTCAATAAATACATTTATATCTTAATACAAAATCACAATTTTAATAATTAAATCTTTTGAATAATACTTTGAAAAAACAAATAATGAAAAAGAAGGTTCAATCTCGAATAAAATGAATTACATATTATTATCACTTATTCCTTTAGAGAGAATAAATTTGAATAAAAAAGATGAAATGAATTATTTCACTAGTTAAACGTATATATAATTTTTAAATACGATATGATTGTACTTGAAAAGATTTTATGTCATTTGTTTTAATTATTTTCAAATATTAAATCTCGAGGACTCGTCCTAAATCTAACAAAGTCAGTCGCAAATCATCGTGTATTCGTATTCATTCTACGAGATGTCTTCTCGTTTCTGGATACGGATTTTCTGTTCAAAATGGATTTCCTTTTCTCTGAGAATCTCGTAATGCTTTCTTTACGACACATGTGTCATAAAAAGGCCACGATCTTCCTATGGCCATAAAACTCACAAGTTCGATGCCATAATCCGTGAAGGTTTCAATAACTATATATAGTTTCCGAGATCACGACTTTATTTAATTTTCTTTTTTCTGTTATTTTTTCTTTTTTTATTTAAATGATAGAATTTATGTTGATCGATCTATTCGCTTTTATAGTTTTTTTTCCTTTTATCATAATCAAAAGTTTTGTTATTTCTTTATTGTTTCCTCGATTTAATTTAATTCTCACAAAATATTTCTTTATTTCTTTATTTTTTGTCATTTTTATTTGCT